CAAAGAACACAAAGTTGCAGTTTGTAGATCTAGAGCAGGATTATAAATTTTGATATAAGACTGGATCTGAGACTTGATTCTTTTCTCTCTTCTCCATTATACAATATCTCTTTCACAAATGGATTCTTGCAAGTGTTTTCTAGAGAAAGGAGGGGAATTTAATTCCTAGTCATACCAGGTGAGGTTCCTAAGGCAAGAGGACTAAGCCATCATAGAGAAAAGTAACATGTTTTGAGACAACAATGAGCTTTGCCGCATGATAGGGTATGCACAGAGAAGAGCAAAGTGACATATACCAGCCAGACAAACATGTAAGGTTCAAAAGCAAGAGCTATACACAGAATTAAGAGAACTAGAGGTCACTCTGCCAGGGCTTTCTTAAGCAGCAATAGATGTTCAGATGAAAAAGCAAGCTTTACAACAGTAGCTGCAAAGGGTCAGGGGTCAGTTTCTTTATGGACCTCCTCCCACAGGCCATATCCCTCCAGCAAGACTGAATTTCCCTCTGCAATCCCTTTCAAAATGGTTACTGGAAATGGCATTGTGTCACTTCCTGTTACTTCTTTGGGAGGCACAACAAAGGAAAATAGAGTTATCTGAGGGAATAGGGGGTTTCAGGAGTTTGTTTAAAATATATATTTTAAGCACAATTTTCAGACCATTTTTGGCTGTGGTTTTCAGCCAAACATGGTCAGAAAATGTGCTTAAAATGTATATTTTAAACAAATTGGGGGGCTGAGGAGATGAAAAGTGGAACCCAGGACCACATACCATAGGTTACACTCTGCCCACCCCTGCTTTATAGAGCCTGATACAGCCCCATTGGGTTCAGTTCAAGACAGATTGAGATATTTTTCCTAAGATGCAGCAGTCCACCCCACATTGTGGTGCATAGAATCCAAGGCCAGTCAAGTTGTTTTGGCACCAGAGGCAGAAAGTCTTCAAAATCTCTCCCTCTCTCCTTGCCCCCCAAAAGAAAAAAAAAATAGAGACAGAACATAATATTTTTCTTTAATGACATTTAAAATCAGCTGTCTGAGGCATGCACCTTGCTTTACCTAACCATAAAGCCAGCTTTCCAAACAATACTGAAAGAGTTTATGGGCTTGTAGTCTGGTTTAGGTGGTGTCTTTGTGTAATTGCTGTTCATTCAGTAGAATTTTCTGGAGCTTTCGCTGCAAGAGTGTTTGTTCAAGACCCCAGAGCCTTTGTGTTCTTTGGCTGAGAAGCTCTATCTATTCCTTTCAGTTCTGAAAACACTTTCACATGATGCTATCAGCCTTCACCAGCTATTATCATTGTGAAGGATGATGGGACAGGTTATGTAGCAACATCTGAAAGTGCCACAGCTGGCTTATTCCTGCTTTGAACAGTATTTCCAGCTAACATTTCTGACCCTGATAATCAAAGATTAATTGCTAAGAAGATAACAAGTCATCTTATCAATATGCAGTAAAATTAAGGAAATGAAACTGCCT